AGATAAGCTGGGTACATGAATGTACCGGGTATACATAATTATTCTGAAAAATATGTGATTTGTAGTCAGTGTTAGACAGGGATTGAAATAGAATTTGTTCTCTGCATGCACAGTGTGCATGTTGAATTTGAAATTTACCTGCACTAACTTGTGAAATGCACCACTTTTAAAGTTCAAATCAATTTTTTTTTAGTTGTCTTACAATATTGGTTGAACTTAATTTAGGCTTAGTGAATATAATGAGAAAATGTTGTGTTAATTTCTACATGCACAGTGTGCACATTATATTTTGATTTTACTTGCACTAGCTAATAATCTATGTGCAGTGTGCACCAGAGTATTTCAACCCCTGTTAGGTAATATAATTTTGGACTGGTCAGTCAACCTTTATAGTTCACCTTCATCAAAAAATTATTTTAATTATAATTAGTTTACCATATTTTGCAACAACTTGATCAAATCACAGTTGTGGAAGGACTGTGATCAAATAAATAAATTTCACCTGAAAAGAAAACTAATTAGTCACAATGTGCCTGACTGTTTCGAAAGTGCAAGTACATATTGTTTTTGTCTCCCGTGTGCAGCAGAGCACAAGGGGAAGCGAATGTCGTACAGATGTCTGTTGAATATGTAGATGTGTCAAATCTTGTTCTACGATTATATCAAGAACATATGGGTGAATTTTTTCTTTAAATGCATGGTTGCTGTTCTTGCTATTTATAATTGCAATATCCCCATCTTTCAACAAAACAAAACAATCAGTTTATCTTCTGTTATCTGTGGTAAGATCGTAAGTCATTTTTTGTGTGTTTTATGCCTTTGTTTGTGAAAATGATTTTATATTTTGACCTCTCTGTATGAATGATGATATGCATGACAGCCACACTTGAAATGAAATTTCTTCTTGTTAGTATCCATTACTGCAACAGTTATTTATTTTTAAATCTCTGTTTTAGCAGAATAACATTTTTTTTTATGTACGTATGACTCGTAATCATCAAGTGTGTTATCTTATCTTTTTTTGATAAAAAAAAACATTTAAATAATAGATCACAATGGGAAAACAACTTGGCTCAAAATTATAATTTTTAGTAGGTAGATGTTAGTGTATGTTTCTATCATTTTATTTGTGACTACATGCATTTGTTTATTTTTATCATATTATCTTTATGTGTTTTATTAAAACTGTGAAAACTATATTTTGTTCACAGAATAATATATGGGGGATCATAATTATGCAAAATTACAGTTGTATGAAATTCAAATTTCCAAGTCAGCAACAAACTCGGCACCAAAAGGAATCTCAAGATACTACCAAACTCAAGTTAGTTATTTTCATAAAATATCTTGTAAAAATGAAATCAATTTAATGGAAATTTCTTAACTAAAATTTTAATCAGAAAATATAATTTGTTATTCTATTTTGCATGTTGATATATTTGACCACCTCATAGTATGGAAATTTATTCTAAAAATTAATTTTAGTGCGGCCCCCTCCATGCATGGCATGCAGCCCTTCCTAACTTACAAGTGGTTTAATCCTAAGTTGATGCTGCCAACAGCAATGGATATCATCAATTGATTTAAGTTATCATTACTCATTTCGTCTTAATTTCTTATTCTCGTCACAATAATATCAAACATTGTGTCCCACAGGGGGTCAATTTGTGGTCCTCATTAATCAGTGCATTGGCGCTACCGATGTTTCATTCTTAAGAATAACCACCTTGCTGGCCTTGACCTTATGGCATTGCTCCCATGAGTCTTTGCATTTTGTGTGTGAATATACCTGTGTTACTTTTTGATTAATTAGGGTGATAATCTTTATGTGAAATGTGACCTTAAAAACTTTATATACAATCTGTTCTGCTTAAGTACAAATTATGGTCTGACGGGCTCATAAATTACTTGAACAAGATCAATATTAAATTGTTTTATTGGTGGATTATTGTATTAAGCTTAAGATGTATTGGTGCTGTGTTGTAACATGATGGTGAAATTAGATAAGCATGATTATCGTGATTTATTTTCGTGATTTTTTTTGACAACTTGTTATTTATTAACATACTATGCAATGTATTAAACTAAAATATTTTCCAATAAATTTAAATTATTTTGGTACCCATATTTACTTTCTGATATGTCAATGGCTCATTATTTGAAAAAACAAAACAGATATAGAAATATACTATTCAAAATCAAAACATTTCTCATACTAATAGAGCACTCCACTGACAAAGTAAGCTGTTAATATTTTTCATCCTAATATTTTATTTATTTATTTTATTTAATTATTAATGTACATATGGGTATATAATCACAGGTAGATGTAGTACATAGTCGAATACAAAGATGGATTGCTGTTATCCCTCCAGCCATCATGTGATATGTAAATGTTGACATTGACATTCAGAGGACGATTTACATTACCAGAATCACCAAACTGTGTTACCAAACTGTGTTTATTGAATTTGATGAATGCAACAGTAGATGCCAAGATCACACAAGGCACAAATTGTTACCAAACTCTCATTTCATTTGTGTTCATATAGCCTGAGGTGTACCCTGAACCTAGTTTTCAATTGATTCAAATTAAGGCAATTTTCACTGCTACATTTTCTTGATTTCAGGATATTTTATAGCATAAATGAAGATAAAAGTTCCACTGACTCTCAAAATTTGCGTAAATAGGTGTCTTGCAAAAATAGAGCTGGTTACAGTGCGCATAAAAGAGAACTCTCCATAAATACAATAGAAAACTATTATCACTTGTACTAGAAACTCACTATAGTTAAATGTGTTAACAAGATTCATATTAAATTATATGGCTTTTTAATCCCATGTAACCAAGAAGAAATCAAAGATAGGAAGAAATAATTTCCCCACAGAAATCAGTGACCCACATTTTTTTTAATTCAACTGCATAATAGTTCATGATAATAAAAGGAGATGAAATATAAACATGGCCCTAACCTCCTTGAGATGTATTAATTTTAGATGCGAATATGGCAATCAAGACTCCACAAATAAATTTAGTTATGACAATTAAACATTAATAAATATTATTATACATCTGTCACCATAACGCTACAAGTTACAGCGTGCCGTAATTTTGTGGTATTGCACTGTGTATTTTCATATATGGTATTTTCATTACCATATTAGGAAATGCAAATAGTGTCCTCTAATAATAATGGCTGCCCCAAGGGTTTGACCGGACCCCACACAAAGAAGTTTGCTAAATCTGTTCTAAATGTTTTGGATTTCGGCACTTCCATGATGTGTTCCTGGGAGAAAAGATGTATAATGATAAGGTTATTACAAGGATACTGCAAAGTATGCACTCAGACAGTACATGGTCGCATCAACCTCCGCTGCGTGTCAGTCGATACTCCTACTGTACTGTTTTTATGCGTACTTTGAGGTATCCTCGTAATAACCTCATAATATTATCATATGTTAGTACAGTAGCAAGAATTATCCTTTGAAATGCCGACATCTATTCCTTGATACTTTGTAAGTTCTTAATATGTTTTGTTGCAGTATGTTGTAAGTGATGCTGACGAGGAGCTTCTATTCAACATACCGTAAGTAAAGAATAAAGCCCTTGAGATATAAAGTCTGACCCATGATATAATGTTGAGGCTATAGGACTAGAAATTTTTCTGTGGGAGGACTTTATATCTCTTGAGTCTTGACTTCTAGTGCTTTATCTGATTTAAAACCATCTATAGATGTATTTTTGAGAGTCCTGTCAATAATTTTGCACAAAATACACAATGGGAAATGGTGACCATGCTGGCATGTTTGGTATGAAATGTGTCAATGCATTGCACGCTTGTGTGAGTATTAGTCTCAAGTCATTGATAACAGTTTGCATTCTGAAATTGCAGCAGGTAAACCCTATAATCTAAATCATCAACTACAATGAATATTTATGATCTGACTCGAAACATCATGTAGACCAAAAGGCAATGACCACCATCATGTTCTAGATGGCCCAATGGCAGCATGTCTGCCACATCTCCCGTTAAGTTTATAGTAAGACTGGGTCAGTGTTTCCTTCCTGATGTCATGTGATCTTTGTAAAAGTCCTAAGTACATTCTGATTGGTCAAGAAGCATTAGGTGGGTTTTAAGTTGTGTTGTGCTGTATCCAATCCTGTCACCAACTAACTAATGTAAATATGCACTTTTTCATAGTACAAAATGATTCCATTCGTTATATCCAAGGCATTGGCAATATCTTTCAGTTAATTTTATGGTAGATGCCTGAATCCTGCAATCCGATCTTTGGGTAGAGTGAACTCCTCATCTATGTGGAATGCCGAATTATTATCAAAAATTCTGCTTCTCATTGTAGATTTACAGGGAATGTTAAGTTAAAAGGTGTTATTGTTATTGGTGGGGAAGATGACTCTCATCCATCACAGATGAAACTGTGAGTATCCATACTGTTTATTTATTTATTTATTTATTGATTGATTTATTTATTTATTTATTTAAAAAAACAATTCAATTCAATTGCGCAATTCATAGTAATGGTAATAGTGTGGCAGCACCAACTAATACACTAAAGACAGGTGATCACGTTCTTGACTGATGTGGCATATCTCTTTAATCGCATCTTCAACTTAAATATACCAACACCGTAAGATCTAGCAATTAACAAAAACATAACAAATCACTAAATCTTAATACAAGTACGGTGTAAAATATACAGTACTAAAAATATCTCTAAATACTACAGTTCAGTACTTCACTATTTCACCATAGATGGCGCTATCGCTGAAGGTCACAACATAACAAATAATAATTACAGTATTTCAGCAAACATTATAAAACCGATTCTTCAACAATACAACAAGTAATTCTTCCACTACAATGAATATGGATACACTTCAGTTCTTTCACGAGTCCATATAATAACTTACTAACAATGATTGATACTATGCCAAACACGGTGATGACGAAATCGTACACATAGTAATGTAAAGCTAGAAAACACAAGTCAGTATAACATCAAAAAAGCTCTATGTTGATCCATACTACAACAACACTG